CCAGTTTTGCCACACGCTGTCTCCTGATTTTGGTACCGGGGATGGAACTCGGGTCCTTGTGCTTGCGAGGTAGGTGGGGGAACCACTGAGCTAAATCCCCGGCAACATTCTGGTCTTTAAACAAAAGGGAAATATAGCTTGAAATTCTGTTCAGTATTAAGAGTCTGATTTGCAAATTTATCTTTGCCCCTGCTTTGATCTTTTTGGGGGTTTACTGTTTACATTCTATTTTATCTCCGTTTTTTTCATATTTTATACAGTGTAATATGAGTGAGGCATTGGCTTAAACAAAAGGAAATAGATAAAAGAAGGGAATGAGGGGAAAGGATGTGCATGCTCTTAACTCTTTTACATTTCATCTTACTTTAATGCCATCCCTTACCCCCAAGCCATTTTGTAAACTGGAACTATGAAAGCTTTATGGATCACAGAATGCTATTTATCCAAATCACCTACCTGATTACCTAACTTTAAGCTTCTTGGGAAGTACAGCATTATGAATTCCATTTGGGGATGTATGTATTTCCATTAGACTATTAGACAATTGAAAGTGAAACTTGCTATTTTATTTTTAAATTTGAAATTGTATGTAATTTAAGTATATGTGATGTGCTGGGTATGATGGTACATGCTGTAACCCCAGCACTCAGGAGGCTGAGGCAGGAGGATAGCCACAAGTTTGAGGCTAGCCTGGGGTACGCAGTGAGTTTAAGGCCAGCTTGAACTACACAGATTTACCCTGTCTCTCAACAAAACAACAACAACAACAAACAAGCAAAGCACTCAGAATGAGGGAGAGAGAGAGAAAAATAAAATCTATCAGGTTCATGGGTTGAGAAGCCTAGGAAGTTCAAGATGGGGCAGCCACATCTTGTGAGATCCTTTTTGGTGGGGACTTTGCAGATATAGAGAAATCAAAGGGCCCCAGGGTGAGAGACCTCCCTAGCTCGGGTTTCTCTTCCTTTTCTTATAAAGCTACAGTCCCATTGAATTAGAGCTCCTGAGGGAAAGTTTTTTTTCTTTAGCACAAGTGTAGCAGTGATTTGTATAAGGCTTTCCCTGGTTTATGGTCCCGGAGGGCGAGCAGCTAGAGCTATAGCAGGGCAGGGGGCTGTCATCTGGTTGCAAAGAGCTTTTTATGCTGAGAGAGGATTTCTAAGCTCAGTGGAATGGTGATAGGTTTCTTAGGAAAAGTGATCAGTACAGCAAACATACAATAAAAAAAATTTAAAAAGGAAAAGTGATCAGATCTATTTTAATATGTTTACTCCAAAACTGCCTGGAAAACAGATCAGGTGTGCTTGGTTGGGGGAATATTGGAAGCTGGGTGATAATTTTGGAGGAAGCTGAAGTAGTTTTAGGCCTTGTGTTACTGCTACAGTGAAGGGCAGTGAGGAGGGGAACTCAGGATGAAGCAGGAAACTGTGAGGACCCCGGACAGGCCACTCTTAACATGAAGATTGGAGCAAAAAGTGACTTTTAATGCCGGCAGCTCATCAAGTGACTCCTGTCAGTCTCAAGAGCCTTGAATAGAAGTTTGTCTTTTTTTCATATACCTCTTTTTACATCTTCGAGGCTTACTTTCATTGGAATTTCCCTGGGAATATAGCAAGCAGGATTTACACAAAGCAATGCAGTCAGTGGGTGTCGGGGAGGGAGCAAAGAGTTCTGGAAGGACTTTCTGAGTTCTTATGCTTCTTTGGTGACAGGGTACAGAAGTTATTATGGTTACTCAGGTACATTCCACAAAGAGCATAGTTACCTAGTTAACCCATAGTTGCCCAGTTCTATATGGAGAGGTGGTCTCCTTTCTCAAAGACACATTTTTTTTTTTCTCCAGTACTGGGGATCAAACTCAGGACCTTGAGATTGCTAGGCAGGCCCAGTGAAAGGCACTTCTTAGATTGAGTTGATAATCCTGGGAGAGGCAAGGAAAGAAAGGAGTTAAATATCAACTTGGGTTCCTAGTTTGGGTCATTTATTTTATTTTTTTCAAAATATGTCTTTTAAGGGCCAAGGATTTAGCTCAGTGGTTCCGCCACCTGCCTCGCAAGCAAAAGGTCCTGAGTTTGATCCCTGGTACCCCCCAAAAAACAAACCCAAGAAACAAAATATGTATTTTATTCCTTTCCCACATGTATTTGGCGAAGTTTTCAAGGTAAGCAGTTTCATATTCAGAAATGCAGGGGAGTGGGGACTGGCATTGAATTAATCTCAAGATTCATCATCTTTCGACAATGGACAGTAAGTGTGCATATTACATACATAAGGAGTGACAGTGAAGAGCTTTCCTTACAAAGATCACTCCCATTTCGCAAGGAAGCCTCCTCCAGGTACCTGGCATCTTGTGCTGTTCACTACCATGGATCACTTTTAAAGTTCAGTTAAGGACACATTCTCTTGGAGCTGCATTTTATGACAATCTTATGATTTGTTCAATTGTCAAATTGTTAATTGTGTGAAATACACAAAAATATCATTTTGTGTGTTTTCTACATTTCTGCTTCTTCATCCTCATCATCTTTGGCTCTGAAATGCATTCTCCTGAATTCTCGTCTGCTCATTGAAGGGCAAGATGAAGAGGCCAGTGGCAGGTCCTTAGAGGGGAAGCAAACAGGGACTTGAGTCTCGAGTGACACCACACTTGCATCTGTGTCTGTAATGCACCCCGGTCAACTTGGTCTTGCAGAAACAACAGTCTGAGTGAGATAGGGAGAATAAATGTAACTCCCAACATATTAGATGTCAGATACGCAGTTCGTGTTCCCTGAAGTCGAAGAATGAATTCTAAGGAACAATGGAAGTTAAGAGCAGGAAAATTTATTGGGGAATAGGAATGGGAAATAAGAATAGTTCCTGGGAGACAGGAGGGGTCTTGAATGGGTTCCCCTAGTTTGGGTCATCTAATCAAGGGAGTACCCAACCAAGACAAAATAGGGCCAGAAGCATTTTAGGGAGGATTTAGTTTTTTTTTTGTTTTTTTTTTTCACCGG